ACACTATTGATCCTCATCAGAGACCGGATCGAATGGCATAAAAAAGGTTTTGTAAAAATTGCCTTTTATCTTGCTGACTGTACTATTTTTTCAAAATCTGTGAATGCCAATCAAAATATCTTCAAAATTCATGGATAGTCTTCTAGAACCGTTTTCCTGTAACTACAACGATTAAGGTAGCTGGCCTTACTGCCCCGTCTTAAATATACACCCTGTATAGATGTTGTTATTTACCACCAGGCGCACGACTTGTTTGTTCCGTCGCTTGATATCCCATTAAATAGTTACTGGTAGCCATAGCTACCATAATGCGAGAATACGTCATTTACGGTCAAACGTCACTGGTAGCTATAGCTACTAGTAAATTACAGTACCCACAGTACCCGATTGGTGAACTGTTTTACAAATAACTTTGATGTTACACCATTGACTTACAATTATATGGACGTCGGGTCCGCGCTAAAAAGTGTCCGCACTTGTAAGGCGCTAAAATCGTATACAGAGCGCGACACTCCGCTTTAGTCTTCATTTGTTCTACGGACAGCGCGATACTGCGATGACATAACAATTTAAATTTCGAATAGGTTGACTTGGGACATTTTTTTCGTGGTTTTTGTATTAGACCCGTCGTCCATTTATTTGTAAGTCAATGTGTTACACCAAATATTTACTAGTATTTCACTGTTAAATACTCGATATCCTAGTACAAACAAAAAATATTTAAAACGCGTCCCTATAACAGAAAAAAATGTGAAAAAAAAAAACTGGCGGGATTGTTGACGTTTAGTGTTTGATGAAGACTTTATCTGTAGATCATCAGCATCGATACTATAACTGTAGATGACATTATTAATTAATTTCTTTAATTAGTACTTAAAAGAAAAAAAAGCTTGTGCCCATTCTTCTACATGCCAGTTAAAATACGATTTTTCCTTCAACATTAAGTCATAGTTATACACCGCGACGGAAGCTATCGTTTCGTACTATATATTCATACTTACTTGTACCAAATCTCGTAGATCAGTAAGGATCAGCACCCTGTAAATCTATTTAGATCTTGTGAATTTTGTAAATGACCCCAATAGATCTTTCGCAGCGATGTCAATGATTAACGAGTTTCAGGACAATGTAATTCGATTGTAAGCAGCTCATGGAACAGCTCCAAGGGATTGATGTTTCGTCTTTTCGGCCGTTTATAGTATATTTTTTATAGTAAATAAATACCAAACAAATATATATTATAGAAAACGTGAGCAATGATGGACTAATCTCTAAAAGATCTCGCCAACGCAAAAGTCAGAAGCGGGAAACAGCAGCAGCGTAGCGGAGAAATATTAAAAATACTTATTCCTTTGTTTTTTATTTAGCAATGGAAATATAGAATAGCAGATGGAAATTTTGGGCTTTTTAAAATAATAATATCAAGTGACGGGACGAATAAGTTGTGCGCTTGATAAGCTACACGCCTGTCCCCATAACAGCCACTCAGAGTTTTAGATCGCAAAGATCACTGTAGGCGGAACAATTGGCGGAAGAAATAGGTAAGGTGGCAGTACTTCCCTGGACGAATAGAACTACTAAAGAAGTAGCAATAGAACTACTAAAAACTGTGTCTGTCTTTTATCAAGCACCATATCATAGAGTCATTATACGGGTGCGTACTGATCTGGCGAATGCGCAAAACCATGCCAACAAATCGCAGAATCTGTATTGCAGAGATCTGCACCCTTATAAATATAGTGAGACAAAATTTGCAAAAATCTAATTTACTACCTTGTAAATATTCATATAATTAATAACTTTTTTTCTCTCGCAGCACTATTATATATTAAAGAAGAAATTTCTATCTTTACTTACACACTTAATCTATGTCATAGATTTGTGCTATAAAAAAGGTAAAAAAACAGAGCTTCCAAACATGAAACGGAAACTTTATATAAAACAATAACACTCGTTGTGTTATTTTTAAATGTCTTTCGTCATTAATTCTCACGAAATTATTATTTCCTGTAATTTGTTGGCTGAAGTGGAAGGTTTATGATCACTGCTTCTTTGTTTACGTTTTTCCTAATCTTAAAAAAACGAAGTATACCCAAGTACTACAAGTACATGCTATATACAACGTAACCTATACAGTTTATTCTAATTAATCATTGTAAAATTGTTAGAATGAAAAGCAGATGCACTTTGTGCTTTAGACCGTTCTTATTATAACTGTTTATAAACAGGGTGAACAATGACGAGCATTGAAATTGAAGTTGATTCTTCCAATTTACCTATTAACGTTGTGTTCAAACTACTAAAATATAGTGGAAAATACAGTTCATTGCACAGGCATACATGGACTAGATAGCTAATAAATGAAGTCAGTATAGTTGATCATTATAGAAACACATTAAAAGAAATTGAGATATATATACCAATTTAGAGCAATTCGCACACTAGGTGTAATAAGGTTTTATCTGCAAAATGACAATTTTTCAGAAGAAAGCTTTGAAAATTCTACGAACGAAATTGATCGATGTCTTTTTCAAGTTTGATTAGGAGAGTCATACAATTTTACATATACGTAATTTGTTTCAGTATTCGTTTGTATTATTTCTATAACTTTCATGTTATGATAAGCGATTTTGCGCGTGACCTTATTAAACCAATGGTACGAATTAAGTTTTTTTTTATATTTTCCGAAACCGTATTTGCGTACTACTACTTAAAAAAATGTTATAATTATTAAGAAATTTATAAGATTTCGAAAGCGATTTCAAATTTTTCGTGATTTATTTGGTTTAATAAAATCTCTATTTTTTTTAATATTTCTTTTTCTTGAGGTTCCTTGCCCCATCCGATACTCTCATCATCAACATCTCTATGTTGGGTAATATCATGGCAAACCTGATTTTAGATGCTGGCGTTTTAAAGAGCGAGCTGGTATTGAAGGTGAATTATTGTCCAAAATTCTTGAACCAGGAGTGCCCCTCCGCCATTGTGCTGAGCTACAAACATTTTTATCTCACAACACTGTTGTTGTTACTAAATCCTGTGTAGAGCTTTTACTTATGATTGTGTGGAGATAAATAAACGATTTTGTTATTATTGTCAATTCCAAATACTACAATTTGTTTTCCAACAATTTTGCTCTGGATGATAAGCTGGAGCAATTTTTTTGTTTGTTTTTTGTTTACCGCACACACTCGTGGCCTAACACTGGGGAAATCATGTATCGCGAGTGCCATATACACGCACATAGACAACCACAAAATACACCCAAACTCACAAAAGAAATAATGTAGGCCATGCAAATATCTCCACCCGGGACCTCTGCGTGGCAGTCCAGCATTTTAACCGTTCAGCCACGGAAGCAGTAAAGATTTTGAAATCTCTACATTATGCTTTTTTATTTAATGATAATTAAGTTGCTGTAAGTTGTGATAAAAAAGCAATTCGAATTCATCGCCAGAGTTTGATAGATTCTTGTAGACTAATAAACCATTATTTTTTCTATAAACATAGCCGCCTTTATCAACTTAATGTAGCATATATCATAGTAAAAAGCATATGCGTATGATGTATCAACGCGGCAGACGCCCCGTGGCGCGACATGGGCGGTCCTGAAATAATCCAGTGATTCACGACCAGGCCCGATATGAGCTCGTTTAATTAGAAACATAGATAGATGCTTACATACCAGTGTATAATTATTTATTATTTGGTCCTATGTAGTTGCATTGGTGTGTTGCAAAAACGAGTGATTCGTTCTGCATACTGTTTAGGTTCTCGGGTTTCTGTCAGAGAAAAGTTTAGGGAGACTGCCTCATGACTGTGGTATCACAGTACATTTACTCAAATACTTTGCCCACATAAATATACATAATATCATTGAGAAAAAATGTATCCGTAATATCAACTTTTTCATTTAACTTAAGTATACGATTTTTTTATGGGGAAAAGAATACGTTTGTACAATAAGATTTCGGAGCATATATTAAAATTTTCATCTCTTAACTTTAAACTAACATTAAAAGTGTTTTAATTGAAAAGTCATATTATAAAATTAAAGATTCGTGTTAGATAAAGATGTATGGAAAGACGACGTGGTTGTAGATTCCACACAAATTAGATTCAAAGTGTATAAAAAACGTGCGATATACGAGTATATGTTAATACCACTCAGTCGTGGCCACGGTACCTTTAAGAAAATCCGAAATCGAAGTCGAAGAAGAAGGAAGTCCCGAAACTTTGGCTTGTTTGAAAAAACAGATTTAGATACAAATTCCGAAAACTTAAGGACACGATCAAATAACATATGGATAAATTAAAATATGATTTACACTACTACATGGAACATGAAATTTTGAAACGTAGTGCGTTAATAACTTTATTTTCCTCAAAATTGTCAGTTATGTCCATTACTCCATTAAGGTACTATATAATACACACTTCCAAAGAAAATCTTGAGATGTCACTTTAAACAACGATTAGGTTCAGAAAGGGCTTTAAAAAATATATGCTTAATAAATTTCTAAACATTAATAATCTCAGTACAGAGGACTAAAAAAACCGACCTCAAAAGTACGTGGAATTACATATCATTACCAAGTCTCATTGAAATCGTAAATTAACCACTATACGGGACTTGACACAGGAGATAATAAAAATCGGTTCTAACTACTTTAAGTATATTACGAGAGAAAACGCCTTGAATAGGGGAATAGCAAAATCAACCATTAAAATAATTGCTCCTTATAATAAAATTTAGGCGCTATTTATAAAAATGAATCTTCATGCGTGAACAACCTTTAGAGGTGGATGATTTTCTTCAAAATTAAATGGGACCACTATGGAGGTACCCTCTTTCCAACAAAAAAAGAATCATGAAAATTGGTTTACAAATACCGGAGTTATCGCGTAACATACATACAAAAATGAGAATCTCCTCCTTTTGAAGTAGGTTAAAAAGTATTATAATGATTGAAAAATTCAAAAGTCCGCAACATTTACCACGTCAAAAATGTAAAATTTCTTATTAGGCTGTCATTAATTTTAAGTAACAATAACTCAAGAATTCACGAAAGAACTTTATTATCATTAATATAAGTATTATCTTTTATTCAACTACAATAGAATAAACAACATTATTCCTCAATTAATGTCTCATCGACCTGGACACGCCCCCTCTTAGAATCGTACAGAGGGTTTCTGAATGCCGTACCTGCGCTAGTGCCAATTGGGGATTCCGAGTCTCTTCTACTCGTCAATGATACCACGCTGTCTGTCCTCCTGTTGAATCTCGAAATCACAGCTCTGCGTCCACCCGCATACATCGTGAAAGGAAACCGCATTTCCGGCATCTTGTAGTAATATACAAATATGGCACCCATTATTAAAATCACCAAGAAAAACATAGAAAACGAAATCTTTCCTTCCATACCCGACAGTGACAAAGGACTACCGCTATATACAGCTTTAGCTTCCAAATAGGAATTGCCAATTACAACTGCCACTTCATGAACTACTAAAGCACTATTCCCGACGTATTCGTCTTTATCTACCATGATCAATTGCACCTTGTTTCCAGGAATTCTACCTATGTGATAATAAAGATAATTTTTCCCGTAGGACTCAACAATCTTCTCAACTTTTTCTTTAAACGCCATCATCTCAAATGTTTGATCTACGTTAATTGTTAAATATCCACCGCAGATTTTACAGCAATGACCTGTTGGCTGGATTGGATTCACACACTTTGGTACTGGACAAAATTTCAGTGAACAATCCATTTCTTGAAGCTGCTCTTGGCACGGACACCCAGCTCTTGATTTACATTGTTTCGTTTCCAAAATAACTCCTGTTTCTCCAAACTTATTCAGAATAAATGCTTGGTTGTCATGCAAAATGTGCAAAGCTGATGAGTCTATTGTAAGGTAATGTAAGAAGGAATCTGTTTTATAAATGATTGAACCGTACTTTATGCCTTGAATACGTTGCGTAAGATCCGGTAACTTCAGGGTGAATTCAGCATTTGTTGCAAACTCTGCGATGTCATCGAAACAAGGCACTCTTTCAAAATCTGGTGTCGCCTTATTAAATCTTGGTGAAGACCAAACGTCTACTTGAGCCCACGAAGCTGTTGAACTTGGCATAAAGTAAGTGTTTCCTTCTTCAGTGCAATTGTCATTGGGATCTCTTCCAAATTTTATAGTTGCATCGATTGTCAATGATCCGTCTTTAGGCAGAACCATTCCACTTACAGAAATATCCGAGTCAATAGTTGTACTTTCGTACATAGTTTGGGGGAAAATTACTGTTTGTTTTGAACAGGGACGCTTGTGATCTCTGAAGTTCGTTGCTAAGCTGAAGCTTTTGTCTGGTAACCATTTCACTACGTCAGAAGATGCAAATGCAATGAAAATAAATAATATATATACCCTCTGCATTGTACTACACGTGTGGCTATGATGATGAGCACTGCGAGCGAATGGACAAAAAGATAAGCGTATAAAGGGATACGTTTCCATCTGTTTTGGATTGTAATGTGACACCTGATAATAATCTATCGTTTTGTAAAAACATTTTAATATTCCGTATAAACTCAATTAGTAAATCGATTTTCATGATTTTTTTTGTCGGAAAGAGGGTACCTCAGTATTGGTCTCTAAGGCTGAGAAACTAGGGGATGAATCTGGTTTCGCGCACTTTTCGTTAACCGATGTCAATAAAACTTGACAAATAAAATTTTTCTATGTGGTTGTTCTCGGATCGGATATTTGGTTTTCAACAACTTTTTAGCCGAAGCGCCATTTATGAGAAATCTATGAAAGTATTTCGTCACCTAGTTAGGTACCTTTATAGCTACCAGCCCTGGTTAGAGATGTCGCTATTAACTTTAATGATTTTTTTTTATTGAATGTCAGAATATTTCACCACCATGACACCAAATTATCTTTTGTGAAATTGCTGCACTAGTTTGTTAATGATTAATTTGTTTTGATATCTTATGGGAAAGCAATGTGATGTCCCCTGGTTTTGTGTAAAAATTTGGATATTTTCTCTAAATATGGCGGACCATGAGACTTGTCAACTTAATATGTCTTAATAGTTCTTTGCAATTTAAAGCTCTGCAAGAAAGTTTACGTCTCAATAGTATGTTCCTAATTGCAAAGTTGCAACAAAAAAAATAATAATATTCCTTGACTCCGAGCTATTGCGGTAATAAAACCGGACAATTACATCATAAATGGTGCACATAATTTCCAGGAAAGAAAAAACCGCGTACAAACAAAGGATACTTAATTTCTCAGCATTATGGTTTCAGCGGGGATCCCAAGGCTTTATCATCTTTTAAGGACAATAAAAGTAATTCACGTACGATGATACCAATTTACGAAATCAGGTGGACAAATTTAGAACATTTCATACCTTTGGATACGATTGGACATTTCATATGTTTCAATTAAATTTCTAGGTAATATATACCGAACTAGTTACAAAAATAAAAAAATATATTAACTAAAGCAAATTATCGACTATCTCATGTTGCTAAAGGATGGACATAGCCGAAGTAACGAATAACGAAATAAAACAGAGTGAAGTAACGTTGGTTTATAGAAAGAAAGAATCATTCATGTTAAATTTGAAATAATTTCCTATTCTGTTGCGGTTTTTATGTTCTTGTTCTTCAAATTTGATTTTTTAGCTCTCTTTTTCGCTTCATAAACATAAGTTCATTGTGGTACAGGTCGCGATCTCATATTATCAAAGGATGAACGCAGGTGACAGCGTGATATGACGGTTGATCTATATCACGCTGTCACTTACGGTTCTTACTGTATGGTTTCCTGAATAATAATAATAGTTAGCCTATATAAAAAATAAAATAAAATTGGCTTTATTTGAAATATATGAATTTCAAACAAAAAAACGTTAATAAAAATAAGTTATGATAAAAAAAGTGTTTCGATCTTTGTATTAATAATTATAACAAACTAGTGGAATAATTTCACAAAAAATAATTGAATATCAATTCAATAAAAATTTGATTAAAAGTTAATAGCGACATCTCTAGCCAGGGCTGGTAGCTGTAAAGGCATCTAACTGGGTGACGAAATACTTTCATAGATTTGTCATAGATGGCGCTACGGCTAAAAAGTCGTTGAACACCAAATACAAAAGTGTAATAACAAGCAGACAGAAAAATTCGTGAGGTCTGTTGGTTCGTTCTGCGTCTTAGTTGGTATAGCGTCTAGCACGATTTGCTGGAAGACGTCGGTTCGAAGGAATTTTTTCTAAGTATTCGATCTTTGTATTAATAATTATAAAAAAAGCATGTCAAAAGGGCCCATGAGTCAGCATCTCAGGACTATGCTAATTACATAGTCCTCGCTGTATTATGCCATAGCCTATATTTATTTCGAGTGCTGCGCACAGGCCTCCTCTCACAGTGAGAGAGCTTGGGCTATATGTAGATCTCACACGGGTCCAATACGGATTGAGAACTTCAAACACAAATTGCTTTGCAGATGTGTGCAGGTTTCTTCACTATGTTTCCCTTCACAAAAAACTCATGGTAAATTTCAAATTAAATTTCGCTTGTAAATTCAGTACAGCTCCTTGTGAAAGAGTCCGTCCAGGGAAGTACTGTCACCTTACCTATTTCTGCTGCCAAGTATTAATGGTTACGTTACTGGGTTCTAGTTTTGAAGGGTAAGAGGTGTTGGTGAAATTACAGGCACATAGGGCTTGTCAACGTGACTGCCACTGCGGCAGTGTCCTTCAGATCTTTGTGATATAAGGCTCTGTGTGGCACTGCAACCGTTATGGACAGGCGTCGCTTACCACCAGGCGCCCGACTTGCTTGACCCGTCACTTGGTGTTATAAAAAAAGACTGCAAATGTAGTTTCCCTTCAGCTTTAACGTCCTTTCTTCCCCGAAATATCGATTGTGTATTATTTCGCAGTTTAATAGAATCATGCGATGACAGAGCCACAGTTAACAGCAAAGTTAAGTTGGTTTTTCTGCAGATATTGCAGCATCGTGAAGCCTTATGATTTATCGCAAAATACCGCTAGGTGGTTAAGTACAAACCATTAATGACTTTTGGAGGGGTGGAAATTTAATAAGACGCTATGCCCCGCGCCAAGAGGCGTAGTTATGCAAATTTTATTGCTGGAAAAGCCTTAGTACGGATCATACAGTGAGGTATTTAGCCTTTAACTGCTCAGTGGAATCTGGAATATATTTATTTTTGATATCGAACTATGTGTCTACGAAAGTATTATTAACGTAAAAAAGAATTGACCAACTATCGAAAATAACTAAAGGTTATAGGGAGCTGCAAGAGAACAACGCAACACGTAAGTAAAATGGGAGGTTTTAGTCCATATGTCTTTGAGTACCCGTCCCAGTGAAGTCCAGTAAACCATCTGGTCTGGACGTGTTACATCCACGAGTGCGTTTAACGTGACATAATTGCAGTATCTCACGATTTTTTAATATATATTTGTGGTTGTCTATATGTGTGTCCATGGTACCCGCGACACAGGGTTTCCCTAGTGCGGGGCTATGGTGAGTGTGTGCTATTTAAAAAAAAATTATGTGACACAGTCAGATACTGTTTTCGTGAACCTTGTAGTTTGAAAGAGGATGTAGCGACAAGAAAAAGAAAAGTGTGTTGAGGTAATTTGAACACATGGTGTAGATCAATAAAAGTAGAGTAAGTAAACATGGAAGGCAACGTTCGAATAGGATGGCTTTGAAGAATGATCTTAAAAAGGCTGGATTGCGTAGTGACGTAGGACTAGGACACCAGATCGATAGTCTTTGCCTATTCCAATAGGAATCCAAGGGTGTGAGTATATGTACGTATATATTTATTAGCAGTTCAACTGATTATGAAATAGTTCGTTCAGGGAAGTACTGCCGCCTTGGCTATTTCCGCCGCCAAGCAGGAATGTAAGCATTTCGATTTTGAAAAGTAAGGGGTGCTGGTGAAATTACAGGCACATGGGACAACTTTAGTCTCAGGGTGCAGTAGTAGTGCCCCTCAGATCTTTGCAATTTAAAGCTCTAAGTGACACTGCAACTGCGGATCGCTTATCAACAGGCGCACTTCCTGTTTGTCCCGTAACTTGGTACAAAAAGATTAAAAAATATATCGAGTTCTCAGGTTTTCGATGTTGCTCATATTGCCAACAAACCTTGTCAGCCGTGACCAACGCACCTGTAAAAAACCCGAAACGTTAGGTTAGATTCGATATATAACCAGCTGATGTTAAATAAATACTTTCTCTTCTTAATCGATCCTCACTGCTGATCCTCACATCGGAGCGTGACTCCACTTCATCCTGCCAACCATTTGCCTCCATCGGTTGCGGTCAGTCTCATTGTTGTAATACGGCGCTGATTGGTGGCTCCAGTTTTTCGAAGATCTAATCTGACCACCTTTAGGGACTCCTGCTTCTAGGTCTCTTTCCCTCCACCTTCCCTGTCACCATCAAACGCTCCAGGTAGTCAGCATCTCTACGTGTCACGTGACGAAAATAGCGTATCACACGCTACATGCATATTAAAGACAGACGCTGTGCGTTCTTTATCTTGAATTCTTCAAGTACGGAGACATTGGTGCGGCGAGCTGTCCATGGTATCTTTAACATTCTGCGCCAGCACCACATATCAAAGGCGTATTGACGTCACGGTTGACTGAGGTGGTACAGTCTTCAACCAGTCATGTCTAATATTGATGCAAACCACCCTATTTTTTCACTATAGTTACAATAGTTATTAATTAAATACCTTATTTTTAATTTTACAAAGAAAACATTCCAATTTACGCTACATTAAGTTTTACAAACTATTTTATTGAATGAATTTTTTTTAAGTTCAATTTATTATTAACATGACCAAGGGACCTGTAAAGGGCCCGAAACGTTGGTTTGTTTGAAACAACAAATATACGCGATTTAAATCCGGAAAAATAGTTTCATTCCTAGATTACTATTGTTAAATTTTTTGTGATATGAGCTAGCTAGACATGATTATGAAATCCTTATTATTATTTCCCAAGTAAACGCATCGTGCCCGTCCAATATACGAAATCGTATGTTTTCAAAAAGTTTGGCGTAACAAGCGTGGCAAAACGCACAATATGGAAGATGCGAAGATAACTGTGGCCTGTAAGGATTCGGGTTTTACGGTTACTAAAATGTTAAGGGGGCCCACTAGAAGGGCTCTAAGCCTATTGCATCGTCTATGAATTGCACATAAAAACCTCTACAGATGTTATGCAAAAGATTTTCATAAACAGTTCCTTTTTAAAACAATTATGGAAGTTTTTGACAAAGAATTACTGGTAAGATTTAAATTTTAAATGCTATGATTGGATTTTTAATCAGAGACGTTTAGGGGGTTGCTAGTTTTTTGGTGAAATAAAAATAGTGTTGTCTTAACCCGTC